TGATATTGATAAGTTAAAGTTATCTTGTAAACCCCAGAGCAACCATCAAAAATATAAAACAGAATCATACCTAATAAGCAAACAGTGGCCTGAAGGTGATGCTATATCCCTTTTTTGCAGATGAGGAAGCTAAAGGCTCACCTTCACAGGATTGCTATAAGAATGCAAGGAAATAATATACGTAAAAACAGTACCTAATACAACAGGAACTCAAATGCTAGCTCCTTCCTTGGGTACAGACCTGCTGTTTGACTCATACAATCTAAAAATACCACAGCTAGCAGTTACTATTTTGTTTTGTCTTTCAAAACAATAATCAATCATATAAAAAAGTTTGGAGTATGACCTAATTCATTATCTATTAAGATCATTTGCTTCTCTATAATTTTTGCCCTTTTTCTTTTTCCTGAATCAACCACATTCCTGCATTCACAATACATTTTGTCTGTACTTCTACAGGGTTTCTCAATCTCAGCGTTATTGACATTTTGGGTCAGATTAAGTCTCTGTTGTCGGGGGCTGTGTGGTGCATTGTTGGACATTTAGCAGCATCCTTAGCCTCTACCCACTAGATGCCAGTAGCACCAAAAATGTCTCCAAACATTGCCAAATATCCCCGGGATGTTGGGTCCAAATTGCCATAGCTCTGTTTTAACACTTGAGACCATAGTGCCCATCTAACAGGGAAATTTATACAAATCAATGCCCTGCAATGGACTGTAAGTACTTAAGGAACTTCAATGCATACACTCACCAAGTATCTAAGTAACAGTGACTGGGATACAACAGTGAAAAGTCCCTGCTCTCACGGAGCTTCCATTCTAGGGCCACACCTTATTCTTCTCTGCATTCCCCAAGGGCCTCACCCATAATAGAGAACCATGCATTTATCTAATTGAACAAGCTGCAAGGGGAAGGGAAACTTCATCAAGGACGTGAATTTCAGAGGAGCATTTGGAGGGAAGAGTGATTTAAAGAGAAAATAGTTGGGGCCACCTACCCAATGACTTTTTGAAAAATTAATTCAGGGATATTTGTTCTGCTGCCCTTGTTTTCTCAAGCTTTCATGGAGAAAAGTTACCGGTCCTCCTACTGCATTCCAGGTTGGGATCTACTTCTTCTAAAGTATGTTTGAACCTTGCCAGTCACTGATATTTCAAATAACATGGGCCTAATTGACAAAGTACTAAGTGTGAACTGGTATGACTCCAAAACTCCCCGTATACCAACAATAAACACAACTTGAAAAAAAAATAAGCTAAAATCTTGAGCCTGTGCTGTCACTGTGAATATGCTGCCTAGAAGCTGAAATAATGTTCTTAATCTTATACATAACCCCATCTACAAGACTATTTTTAACCAAAAATATGCTCAGAATGTTAACCCAGGAACACATTTCTCTTTATCAGTGACATCTGCGACTCAATGACTTGAAGAGTACATTGCCAAGAAGGCATTTGCAAATAGCTCTTGCAAATAGTCATAAGGTTCTACCCTAAGCTGCCAGTAGCAGGAATGAATGAATGGATCTGCTCTGCAGACAGTCCAGCACTTGGCACATAAGAGGCATCCTGTAAGCCTGTGCAGAACCTATTAACTAACAGGATAAGTAAAGCATAAAAAAAAAAAAAAGAGTGTGAAGGATAACTTTAAGGTTTCAAGCTTGGGGAGCTAGAAGAAAAGTGGAGCTTTTACCAATTACAGGGTAACTAGAAGATACTGTTTTATGTCATTATAATATCCAAAAGACACCTAAAAAATATACATTTAGTTGAGGTGGTCAGAGCTACAGATGTTGCTCTAGGAAACATCTGCATATACAGAGCTTGAAAGCTGATCCATTATAAAGAGTTCCCAGGAAGGTAAACAAAGAATCACAAACAAGTAGCAGGCTGAACAGCAGGCGAGGTAGAGATTTAGAAGAATTTAGTGTCACTGAAGTCAAGACATAGTTTTAAGTATGGTGTGGTCAGCACTAGACTTCCAGGGTATTTTCATCTCTAAATGCTGTAGGTGTCTGTATCACAGTACCTGCCACGTACTATGCACTCACTACTAATAATACCACATCCTTACATTGTGCCAGTCAGGCACTGCTTAATTGCTGTCAAACAGAACTCACACAACAGAAGTTGCTGTTATACCCATTTTACATATAAGGAAACTGAGGCACAAAACATTTACGCAATTTGCCCTAACTCACACACCTAGGAGAATGTGTTTTGAAAGAGACCACTGCTGAGAGCAAGTTCAAAGTAGTGCTAGGGGAAAAACTCAAACTGCAGGATGTTCAAGTACCCCAGAGATACCCACCACTTCCTCCCCATCCACACCCCATTTATCAAAGAACTTGCAGTACCCAGTTTAAAAAACTGTGAGACATACCTAAGTCTCTTCCCCATCCATTTTCCCATCCCATCTTCCCCCAGCCTCAGCCAACTGGACTGGAAGGAGATACCCGACCACCTGGGTCATCTCTCCAGAAATTCAGAATTAAGATCTGGAGATATCTGTGGAGGACCATGCCGCAAAATCAAAGTGAGTCTGGTGTTGGCACCACAGCAAACCAAAGTTATGGGGAAGCAGAAACCAAGAGCTTTAAAGAGAGAGCTGATCTGAAAGAAAATGTAACAGACATAACAGAGTACAGAGTAGCAGAGACATAAGACCACGTGCTCCAGAGAAAAACTAGAAGAGTAACCGCCCGAAGATTCTCTGGTTCCCAGGACACTGAGCTGGACTTCATGCAATGGACTTCAGAGGTAGTCCTCCAACTGTATGAAAAACGCTTTTTTTAAGTAAGTTAATTCAAATGAGTTTTTCTTCCTTGCAATCAAATCACCCTCAAGCCATTAAAAGAGGTCCAAGAAAAAATACTGAGTAAGCAGCTACTATGTACTTCAAAATAACTTTTCGAGGTATTTTAACTCTCATGTCAGGCATGAGGAAAAAGGGGCTCAGTGATATTAACTAACAGAGCTGCCTGACTCCAAAACCCGAACTCTTTTCACTATTTTCACTATACCTCATTTTCACTCAAGTTAACACCCAATGTGTTCCAGGCCACCATGCCATTTATCTTATTCTTTCCCATGAAACATTCTCAGATTAATCCAAAAATGTTTTCTCCTTTTATCCTGTCCAGTCTCTAATCTATACATTTGAAATGTCTTAAGTACTGAAAAATAAAATGAACTTTTATATATAAAGATGAGTAGCAGAATGAAGACATTTGAATCTGTTTGGTCTGTTTTTAAACAGATAAAGTATTTTTCTTTCCTTTCCCTACTTTACCAGTTTATACACCCTTAACTAAAGCCTAGGCTAAGCTTAATCTTTTCCTGACCTGCCCCACCCCTCATTCCCTCTAAGCGGTTGATTTTATTACTAAAATGGAGGCCACTTCACAGAAAAAGAATAAATTCATTTTACCTAAATAATTATCCTACCCAAAGTTACTTCAATTTCTTTTCAAAAGCAAGACAAAACAAATATCTACATCCTAAAAGCCTGAAACCCTTGCCAAAAGGTCGTAAGGACCAGCAAAAAATGCTATTTTTCTATATCTGAAAATCAGTTTGCCAAGATGGAATGGGACAAAACTTTTTAAATCTAGACTGGTCCCTTTTGCCCATTCTCAAAAAGACATTTCTTAAGTTTTTCACATTTTCTCCAAGTATAGACAGAACTCCTCTGCCTATTTATAACTGGAAATTTCCCTAAAAATGACCTATAATGTATCATCTGATTTGATTTCCTTTTCCAGACAGTAAGTTCCTGAAATTAAAAAAACAAAAAAAACCCAGCAACATTAAATGTACTATCCTTCTTCCAGCCTCTAAAAGCAAGGGAGGACTTCAGCTTCTAGACTCACCCCAGGAGCTGGGAAGCTAGGGAACTCCTCATTGTGGTTCAGGGTCTTGGGCAAGTCCCATAACAATAGTTCACTTACGTGGGTACATACACTAATCACTAGTTACCAGTCAGCTTGGGAACCCATTTGTTCTGATTGCCTTACATTCTCTGATCTCTCATAAACTGCTGTTACTCACAGCTACAATTAACAGTGAAATTCATCTTCAACCCTTGGGTCAGTTCTGCCAGAAGGAACATAAAAAAGTATAACCAGTACTACTTGAATAGTACTACTTGTACAAATACTATTTGACCAGGTATTTTAAAAGATTCATTAAATTGCACTATTTTAACTGACACTAATCCTGCTGAGAATTGAGCTGCCATTTACCCTAAAATTATAAACAAGACATTAGAATCATCTTTGCATGACTGAGTACCCTATATTTTCCGAGTACTCTGAATTTTCTGGATATTTCCAGACATATCAAAAACAGTATCAATCAATATAACACACCTAACAAGGTGGGAAGAAGCTAAGGAAAGCTTACATGTTTTGCAAGGGACTGCATAATTACAGAGCTGAAAAGAGAAGCGGAATTTTTAACGGTGGTTTGCACTAAGACCATTAGATACGTCTCAGCAGTACTTCTCACGTTGAAATTTCTTTAACATCTTAAGCTAAACCACTTCCAGTTTAATAAGGTTTTAGAGACGAAAAGCAGAAGCAAAGAACTGTCACCAAGTCACACCCACTGTGGTGGTTTAGATGCTACTGCCATTGTCATTGGCCAACGTTTTAAATACTTTGGTCGTATCTACATTTTTTTTTTTTTTAATAAAGCAGCTTAGGTGCCTGGAATAATAGAAGTGGTATACCCAATGCATTTGGAATATGCATGGCCTATATTTAAGCCATTAACAGCCTTGGGGAAAATCTGACAGCAAATCCCAATATCAATACTCCGACGGGCTTGACGTCTTCCGTTTCTGTCACAAGATTTGGGGTGCGCCCGGTTCCAGGGCTCAGGGGTTCTGACAGTGAAGGATGCTGTTAGGGGACAAAGTGCAACGCCCTCCTCCTCCTGCATATGCTCCTGTGCGCGCAGCACGAACACAAGCTAAGCACACACACCACCACTCACCGAGAGGACCCGGCTCTGAAGCCCACTCGGGGGCCAGAAACTGAGCTTGTCATTCAAGGGCTGCAGCCCCAACGCCACACTTCGGACTCCAGAAAGACCCCTCTCGGGCCCGAAGACACTCCCCTCCCCCCGGCCCAGTGCCTTGGGCTTCCTCCCTCCGCCCCGCTCCTCCTCCCACCGCCGAGCGAAGGCGCAGCTTTGAGCAGCCCCGAAGTCAGAGCAGGGACTGCGGGCAGGCGCAGGGGCTGGGGCGCCCGAGCTGGGCCGCCCCATCAATCGCCGCCCCACACCCTGCCGCCACCCCAGCCAACGCGCTGCTGACGCCGCGGGCCGATCCGCGCCCGGCTCACCTGGGGGCCGTAGCCTCCGCAACTCACAGGCACGTAACCGGCCCGCAACGACCAGTCGCGAGAGCTGCCGAGCAAGCAGACGCCCCCTCCAGCACCGGCCCCCAGCCC